CGCGCGGGCGCCCCGCCCACAGGGGGACAGCTCAAGCGCGCTGCGGCTGTCCCGCTGCTGGCGTGCTCCAAGGCTTGGCTCCCCGTCTCCCTGGTCTGCTGGTCTCCAGAAGACCAGGGAGACAGGGAGCAAACCCCGTTCGTAACTGCGGATCCGCCTGTATTTATTTTTGGAGGAAAAATAAGAAATATAATATTGAAAATTGGGTGAGAAAGGAAATTAAAACAAACTACAGCTCCACACTAGTCCTAAAATCTCAGAGGATGAGTGGCTCTTTGATTTGTTCCGTACTCTGGCTCAAGGTGATGTGTGATCATATTTTCCACTTTGATGTGGACTCCATATATGACACACAAAATGTATGCTACAGTTTGAGCATATGTGCTAAGTAGAAGGCTTTTCTCACAGAATATATAAGAGAAATTTACACATTAAGGGAGGGATACATTTGAATTAGAGATGTTAAATTTAGTTTAATCAATTAATCGACTAGTCGATGGAATTTCCATTGACTAGTCGATTAGTTGATAAGCGGGGAAGCCACAGCTCTGCCTTTTAAATGTATTTAGAGCCAGAAGGTTCTGAATACATTTTAAAAAGCTGAAGCTCAGTGTGGGGGACCCCGTGCAAGCTGGGACAGCTGTTTTCTGGCTTTCACCATTTCCCCTGCACTGCACTTCTGCTTTTTAAATGTATTAAGAGCCTGTTGGCTCTTAATACATTTTACAAGCAGAGGTGCAGCGTCTGAGACTGGGCATGAGCTGGGAATCAGCTGATTCTTCTTTGAATGATTGCTTATGTGCATTCCAATATAGGTTTGTGCGTGCAGCGTGCACGCACCATTGGAGACTTCCCTCAGCACTACTCTTAGGGATAGCAGGGAGCCCCCTGGAGTGGCGCCAATATATCGGCCCATATATACCCCTGTTGGCCCCCTCACCTACTCACTTGTTGGAACAACCCTCAGCTCATCTGCAAGTCATTCTCTTCGCTGTTCTTCTCCTTTGTTAACAATCTTCTCTTAAGTACCTGTTAATTTAGTTAAAGACTTTAAGCCCTGCAAGAAGTGCAGTAAGTCTATGCAGTGTGGTGACCCACACTCATCATGTTTGAAGTGCCTGGGAGAATTGCACATTACAGATGCATTCAAGATTTGTAAGGCATTTAAGCCCAGGACCAAATGAGAGCATGAGTTGCGACTTAAGGCGCTCCTGATGGAGGTGGCACTCCAGCCGGCACCGGCTCCAGTACCGGCACCGGACTCGGCACTGAGGTCCAACAGCGCACCAACCTCGGTTCATGACAGCTCCACATACCGTGCCTTCCCAGTACCGCACTGGGCCAGATGTTGCTTCCAGTCTCTGGTACCGATACGTAAGAGGAGGCCTAATAGGAGTCGGTCTCCGCCCAGGCACACGCCCTCTGTGTGCTCCTCGGTGGGGCATGCAGCACCAGCCAGTCCAGAGCCCCGGCCTTCTAGGTCAGGTGACTACTCTTCCCACCAGAGGAATGTGAGTCCTTCAGAGGACCTCCCAGACCCGTCTTCCCCGGAGGGTCTGGAGGCAGCAAGAGTCCTTGTAGACTCGCTTCTCCCTTCCCTCTGCCAACTCCAGCACCCTCAAGACAGCACGGGGATGCCCGGTACTGCTCCCCTCCTAGGGTGCCTGGTGAAATGGTGCACGACGTGCAGCAGAGCCATGTGGTACAGGGAACACCTCCCCCGGAACCAGCTACTGTCACACTGGTGCAACACCAGATCCAGCACCGGACGCGACGTGGATTACCCGCTCGGCACCACTACCGGCTCTCGGTAAAACTGCACCTACCGTCAGGGATCCCGTCTCAGCCATGCCTCCTCTTCCACCTTGGCACTGTGGCAAGCCGGAAGCCATGTCTCAGCACGCCGCAGGACAATCGTCATTGGCACCGCCATGGTCCACCTTGGAATACTCCTCCGATTCCGACGCGGAGTCTGCATAGTCTTCACGGGTCTCTTGGTCCCATTCACAACACTGCTCCCACTCCCGGCACTGGTCCTGGCACCGTACTTCTCCACATAGGTACCAGTATCAGTGGGCTCAGCCGATCCCTGTACTGATGGTCCAGCAGACGTGGCCGCCCCAGCCACCTGGACAGTAGCCTTTTTGGACCCCCTGGGCCTACCATCAGGGCCAGGGTGTGAACCCTCCTAGACCGGCTTCTGTCACATCAGGTCCATGAGTACCTCCATCAGCGACTCCTTTGGTCCGGTCCCTCATGTCATCCCACTCGCTACCTCCGGACCAGCCAACCTCTCCCCCCTTCCTCCCTGGCCATTTTGGATGATCCAGGCTGTACAGACGCCCCTATGGGCAATATGGCAAAGGGGTCATTGTCCTTCTCCCCCGATGAGGCTCTGGCCAACTGCACCTTCCATGGATGCCAGGACCCACTAAGACCTCCTCCACCACTTCACCCAAAGTCTGGGAGTCCAAGCAGACAAGGTCTCTGGGGACTTGGACCCAACCGTCGACATATTGCATGCAGACACTCCCTCCAGGGTGGCATTGCTGATCAACAAGACGGTAGCCAAGATCTTGGCAGCCTTGTGGTAAACCCCGGCATCCATCCCGCCCACCGATAAGCAGGCGGAACGGAGGTATTTTGTCCCCCGGGAGAGTAATGAACACCTCTTCTCCCTCCCTCCCCCGGGTTACTTAGTAGTTCAGGCAGTCAACCAGAGGGAGAAGCAGGGACAGCCTGTGGCCACTCCTAAGAACAGGGAGGCTAAAAAGACCGACTTCGTGGGTCGAAAAGTCTATGCTTCCGGGGGCATCCAATACTGAATTGCCAACCAACAAGTCTTTCTGTCCAGATACGCCTACAACACCTAGGCATCAGTGGACAAGTTTACAGACTTGCTTCCCAGAGATTCCTGTGCGGAGTATAAGGCCCTTCAGGAGGAGGGGAAGAGTAATTTCCAGGATGGTGCTATAAGTAGCGTTCGATGTGGCTTCTCGAGTCATGGCCACCGGAGTGCTCCTGCATCGTAGTTCGTGGCTCCAGGGCTCCAGAGTGCCGCAGGAAGTCCAAAACACCTTGCAGGACCTCCCTTTTGAAGGCATGTCACTCCTCTGAGCAAACTGACCAGTGGCTCCTGAAGGACACGAGAGCCATATTAAGGTCCTTGGGCCTACACATACCTGCCACCCAGAGGCAGTCATATATCAACAGGACTGTTCCTAGACTGCCTCCACAGGCCCACGTCCCGACTTTACCTGACGTAGGGGCAGGGGTAATAATGGCAGGAATAAGCTCTGCCCTCACCCAGCCCCGGATTCTAACCAGGGCTCCCCCACTAAGCCCTTAGGCCCCAACAGGGGTTTTGACAGGACCCCCGAGGGCTCCTTACCAGTCTCCCTGTTATCCTTCCGGGACCGTTTATCCCGTTTCCTCCCGGCCTGGCGGTCTGTTACATTGGACCGATGGGTTCTGGGGATAATGGAAATGGGTTATGTAATCCCTTTCCACTCGCCCCCTCCTTCCCAACCTCCTACCTCATCCCTTTTTAGGGACCCCTCTCATGAGCCTGTTACAGGAGGAGGCTCACCACCTTCTCACCTTGGAGGTCCTAGAACGAGTTTCCTGCAAATTTCAAGACAGGGTTTTTTATTGTCTCTACTTTCTGGTCCCAAAAGCAAAAGGGGGCCTTCGCCCAATCATGGACCTCCGAGCTCTAAACCTCTTTATCGTCAAGACAAAATTCAAAATGGTGACTCTGGCGTCCACCATTCCTTTCCTAGCCCCCGGAGACTGGTACGCTGCCCTCGATGTAAAAGATGCTTATTTTTATGTTTCAATCGCCCCCTTCCACCAAAGTTTTCTGCAATTCACTGTGGGCCAGGATCACTACCAATTCACGGCCCTTCCCTTTGGTATTTCTATGGCCCCTCGGGTCTTCACCAAATGTATGGCAGTGGTGGCTGCCGAGCTCAGAAAAAGGGGAGTCCAAGTGTTCCCTTATTTGGACGATTGGCACCTCCTAGGGGAATTGGAAACCCAGGTGAGAGACCACATCAACATAGTCCGTGAACTTTTTCAAGAACTAAGTCTTCTTTTAAACCTGGACAAATCCACCTTAACTCCTACCCAGACAATAGAATTTGTGGGTGCTACCCTGGATTCCTGGTCTCAGAGAGCTTCTCTACCCAGCTCCCGCTTTCTTATGCTACAGTCGGCAGTCAGATCACTTCAGAACTTTCCAGTGACCACCGCCTGGGCTTGCATGCATTTGTTGGGCCTCATGGCCTCCTGCACTTATGTAGTGCAACACGCCAGGCTGTGCATGCGCCCGCTGCAGACGTGGCTATCGGAAGTCCACAATCCAGCCGTCCACTCCTGGGACAGAGTGTTAACCATCCCCACCCCTATCCTCCTTGTGCTGGAGTGGTGGACCCATCTAGTGGAAGTCTGCGCAGGGGTCCCATTCTCCTGGCCAGTCCTGTCCATCTGACTGGTCACAGATGCGTCAGAAATGGGTTGAGGAGCCCACCTGGGAGACCTGCACACTCAAGGTACGTGGTCTCCCCGTGAAACCTCCCTGCATATCAACGTCAGGGAATCCAGGGTGGTCCAACTGGCTTGTGTGGCTTTCCTTCTCCGCCTGACGAGCAAGCCTGTCCTCATCCTGTCAGACAACATGACGGTGGTGTATATAAACAAGCAGGGCTGGGCTTGTTCACCTCGCCTATGCTCAGAGGCGATCAGCCTATGGAAACTCTGTATTGGGGCGGCTATCCACCTGATGGCCTCCTATCTCCTGGGTTCACAGAACGTCCTGGCGGACAGACTGAGCAGATCGCTTGTGAGTTCCGAGTGGTCCCTGCATTGGGACATTGCCCAATCCATCTTCCGTGTGTGGGGATTTCCCCACCTAGACCTGTTTGCCACAGGGCAGAACACGAAGTGCCCCCCTACTGCTCCCTCATGGGACAGGGATGGGGCTCCTTAGGGGATGCTCTCCTCCTAGGGTTCTTAGGGGTCTCTCGCCTCCTCCACTGGCCGCAAGGCCTGCTGTACACCTTCCCGCCCTTCCCACTAGTTCACAGGGTCCTTTTGAAAGTGTGAGAGTCCAGGGCATCATTAATTCTAATCGCCCCAGTGTGGCCCAGGCAACACTGGTTTTCGACCCTCCTCAACCTCTCATGCGAGGGGCCCATAACCTTCCCACTAGTCCCGGACCAGATATCACAGGATTCGGGCAGGCTTTACCACCCAAACCTATGGTCCCTCCATTTGACAGTGTGGAAGCTCCATGGTTAATGGCAGAGGAACTCCAGTGCTCTCAATGAGTTCAAGAAGTCCTTCTGGGTAGCAGAAAACCTTCCACTACAACCATGTACCTTGCTAAGTGGAAGCGGTTTTGCTGTTGGGCTTCTCAAAAGGGGGTGCACCCGAGGTGGGCACCAGTCCACCTGATTCTGGATTACCTGCTGGACCCTAGGCTCCAGCATCTCTCTTCCTCCTCCATTAAGGTTCACTTAGAGGCCATCTCGGCCTTCCACCCAGGGAAAGGGGGTAAAACGCTATTTGCCAACCCAATGATCAACAGGTTCCTAAAAGGCATAGACAGGCTCTATCCTCATGTCCGGCAACCAGTTCCCCAGTGGGACCTAAGCTTGGGGCCCCTGTTAAAACAGCTAGTCACTTGTTCACTCCTTTACCTATCGTATAAGGTAACCCTCCTAGTTGCTATCACATCCGCGAGGCGTGTGTCTGAGCTTAGGGCGCTGACATCAGATCCCCCAACACAGTATTTTTTAAGGACAAGGTTCGGACCCGCCCTCACCCAGTCTTTGCCGAAGGTCATTTCTGCATTCTACACTTTCCAGGATATTTTTCTACCAGTTTTTTACCCGAAACCGCATGCATCGGGGAAAGAGCAAGCGTTACACACGTCTTTATTAAACTTCATCCTATTTACCTCAGACCAGTTGATAAGCTTATGCTTATTGGATAGTTGACTAGTCGCTTACATCCCTAACATGAATATCTTATGTTTTTCTAATAGATTTCAAATTTTTTAACTTTGAACTTCATTGGCTTAAAAGAAACTACACCACAATGTGTAATTTTATATTACCTATATTACTTTAATATCCTTAAAGGAGAGATCAAGAAGCATAGTACCCAGCAACTGAGATCT